GTGTACCTCTGGTGCAAATTACTGACCTCTGTCATCATTTTAAGTGGGGGAACTTGCACAATCGGTGGCTGACTAAATACTTTTTTGCCCCACTGTATAGGACTGTGCATATGAGAGGAAAGCCAACTTCTCTGAAGCCTGAAGTCACACAACACAATAATATAAATACCCTAGCTATTTATTCCATTAATTAATAAACTGTATATTGCAGGGGTCTCAAACATACGGCCCACTATACATTTATATCCGGGCCGTGCGATAATTTCCTATGTCAGTAATTAATGGCCCCTCAGTATGTGGAAGCCAAATCTTCAGCCCTGCTGAGAATTCATGCAGACAGGGGCGGGACTCTATTTTGATTGGGACATCATGCGAGCAATCGCATGTACAGACAGACTTGGATCATACCATTATGTAAAAGAAGAAAGGATGGCAGATGATCTGAAGACAAGTGTAGTAGTACAGGCCAGGTACACAGAGAGCCAAGTGCAAGCTTGTGGAGCAAAAACAAGCAAAAACATAAAATGAGCAGCATCTGGCTGCATTTCCATCATGTTGGAGAATTTATAAAATTAAGAGCTGGATAAAGGGATACCCACTTTTATTTTCAGACATTTTCCATTGTGCAAGACAAAAAAATATATAAAAAATTGTCTAGGCCTTAAACCTCATATGTGTTCTCCTTAGTAGTAACAAATGCATAAAAATAAGGCTTTCATATAACACTATAAACAAAGTGTTTTTGAATGGCAGAAATGCAGAAATGTCTGCCTGTAGCAAAGAGTGTCTAAATGAGGCCTGAATGTGCATGAGAAGCCATTTATAATTCTTGGTTGAGCTGCTGCTCACAACAAACAAGCAGAAATTTTGACTTTTAACTGTATTTTTACAAGTTTTCCTACTGATAAAAACCTCCCTTAAAGCCATCCATACTATACAAAGTAATAAAGCAATAAAAAAAAACTGAGCTAAGTGTTGGGACTAATAAAGAAAATGTCTTCTGAAAAGGAACAGATAAAATGTCACATTTAGTCATGTGTTTAGACATATTTGATGTCAGTTTTTTGTTGTGGTTGTTGATCAGCAAGGAAGGACATTCTCCCTTTGTCCATTATTTGAACTGCCGTGCTCATTAAGAGGGAATGAATGAATAAAAAAAGGCAAGTGTATTCAGTTGAAAGAAGAGATCCTGCCCCCCCGATATCAGCAGATGTCACTGTTGAGGCATTTTAAGTTCAACAGCAGATTCGTTCCAAATTGAGAGAACATTTATTTTATAAATGAAAATGGATTGAGAT